AGGACAGCAGTTCTAACAGTAGAGACGCAGAGGAGGAAGAAGAAAAGGAAGACTATCCAGAAGACGACGACACTAGTACTAGTCCAGAAACACCACCATCTGAGCCTGACGACGACGAACTTCCGAAAGGTTCCATGCTCTGGGCGTCCAGCAGGCAAACGGAAAAGTCCGGGAAGAAGGACAAGTACAGCGTGTTCACTAAGTACATCATCAGCGGCCTGCAGGGCGGCAACAGCTGTGGAGCAGCTAACTGCCGGCACTGCCTGTCCTTCCGGGGGCAGGCCACAGGCTTAGGAGCGGTGAGTCTTAACGTCCTTCACGACTACGTGTCCAAACACGTGAAGAACGAGCTGCCACAGACACCGTCACTGCTGGGCCAGCAGGAGAGGACCTACTGGCTAGCGTACACACAGGACTAGAGGAGGCAGAGGAGGAAGACACGCATCAGGTTCTCCAATAGGTTCTGGGTGACCCCAGTGCAGCAGATGCGCGTACGACAGACCGGTGAGCTACAGGATTGAGAAGACCAGCTGGGACGCCGTAGGAACTAAGGGAAGAGACGCGCGTCAAGTGTTCAAGGTCGTCCTGGAAGCTTTGAAGGGGTGGCGGAAAGGATGCAGTGAACTTGGCCTTAAAGACTGGAACCTCCTATACTTGTTTGTAATTGACAGTTGCATGTTGTGTCACATATGTCGTAGACATGTGCAGGTTAATTCCAAGAACGTGATGTTTGTTTTCCAAATACTTGTTGATATCTGAATATCAGGACACTACGTAATCGACTCCTTTCTGCAAATTATGACAGCGGTGTAGTCAGCAGAATGGGCATAATTACTTTCTTGTTGTGACATAGATACACTGCTGTAAACAGGTAGATAGCAATACAGCTAAACTTGCTCACAAGCTTCACATGATTTGATTCAGGTATATTCCCATAGAACAGTAAGACGTGTTACCAACACAAAATGCTTATCATCTATGGCATTATTGCTTACATTGTATAATTGTCTTCTGCAATCTGCTGCTTTGCTGTCAGGTAAATTTGTTGCTCACAAAGGACGGAATCAACCTCCTGGCATTTTGGGGCTGATTGGATGTAAAATTATCTTTACAGAAATACAGGAATGACACAGTGAAATGACATCATGCGAATGATGTTCGTAGTTAGCATTACTTCCGATGGCCATTTAGTTTAGAGTGCAATGTAGAATATAAGATTATAAATAGTATTCATATTGACTGTGTTGATGAAGGTTAGACATCCAGGTAATAAGATACGCCACAAAGCAGTTACTCAAGCAACTGGATATGATTCCAATATCATATTGATTGAGTAACTGTTTTTTGGCGCATATTGACTGTACATACTCGTAATGTGGAAGATGGAATTATCATGTAAAATTCCTGGCCCAAGTAAATTGTATTGAAGGACATCAATGCTGTAGAAATCTGGGCATGCATTTCACAGCATCGGACAGTTCCATGTGCAATAAAGGGGTGGAATCTCGCGTTCGTGTGGAATCGAAGGGCCAACTATTTTTCTATTCCTCAAAATGTATCTAAAATTTTCAGATGTCAGCAATGAATTTCAAGGTGCAATATTGGAAGCAGTAAATTTTAAGGTGCAATATTGCGAATGTTCAAAATTAGGAGACACTGTGCACTTTTGCACTGGACCATTTTCAATAAAGGCTATCATTTTATTACATGAGTGCCATGTATATTCATTAGTGCTCACTGTTAGACAATGTATAACACCATACAAAATCAACTGAAGGCGCAAGTTGATGATCCATTGTCTACTGGACTCTGTACATGTAGAGACCTTGCCTGAATGACATCCTTGTTAGTTTGATTTTTATAAACACATGTTTAACAATATTTTGCGATGAAACACTTGCGCCAAATAAATTCAATGGCAGTTAAACAATTACCAGAACTGCAGCGAAACAATTAAACGCCTTAACTGGACGAGACAAAATACTAGAAGTACGTGTAGATTTTCCCTTGGCATTTTCCGGATCTACAAATTGGTCAAATATAGCGACATTTTCGTTATTTTGCAAATCAGCTGCAGTACGGTTAGCAGTTTTTTAAAGAGAAGTGACTACAATGTCTTGTAGTTTGTTCAATTGGCAATAATTTCCATAAGGAAGGTATGTTGAGTTAAAGGTATGGAAAAGTACCATTAAGAGCAGCGTTACGTCTTGGTGTAATGTTACAGAACGAGCCAGAAACTTATTTTTAGTTGTCAACTAGTTGTCCCGTTACTTTGCGCGGCAAAATTGCGCCAGACGGACTCTGAGCGTTTTGATATTCCCGTCTGGGCGTGGCGTTGCAGAATGAGCCAGAAACTTATTTTTAGTTGCCAACCGCCTGATCTACCGTTCCTTTGCCCCAGACGGACTCTGAGCGTTTGAAATTCGCGCCAAACTCCCTGACGTAGTTTACTAACCAGGCAGACGACAAACACACGTCTGGTGATAAAAGTTCAAAGTCCCCAAACTGGCGCACCTGCTTCATAACGAAGGTCTGTTAAGTCACAGTTATGGAAAAGTACCGTTAAGAGCAGCGTTTCATCTTGGCGTAAAGTTGCAGAACGAACCAGAAACTTCATATTTTAGTTGTCAACTATATATATAGCTAGTTGTCCCGTTACTTTGCGCGGCAAAATTGCGCCAGACAGACTCTGAGCGTTTTGATATTCCCGTCTGGGCGTGGCGTTGCAGAATGAGCCAGAAACTTATTTTTTTTAGTTGCCAACCACCTGATCTGCCGTTACTTTGCACCAGACGGACTCAGAGCGTTTTGATATTCGCGCCAAACTCCCTGACGTAGTTTACTAACCAAGCAGACGACAAACACACGTCTGGTGAGAAAAGTTCAAAGTCGCCAAACCGGCGCACCTGTTTGTGTCTCGTGATGTGGCGGCCGGTCGCCATGTTGGGCTCCGGGCCTGTCCGGGCTTCTGGTCCGGGTTAGCGGATAAACAACCACAACAAGGGATAAACCGGACAACAGGGACTCCAGAACGGCCGTCTGATCAACTGGAACTCCACTATGGCTGCAGGTATGGCACAAAATATCAGCGTTAACATTTCTTGGTCGCATTAATGCTGATAACAACCCGTGTATACTTAGTTTACTTTACCCATGTTTAAGTAGTACAATCACATGCATGTATACATATCTAACTTTTTTGACACTTAAAACTCGGACAGTGTGGTGTTGCACTAAAGTTTTAAAAAAACATCTTATTCTAGCAGATACAAAGAAATAGAACAATATTGACAAAAGTTATATAATAAACGACATAGTGCACACCCCCATCCTTTACACAGAATTACAATAAACCATTAAGATATGTTACAGACTGAACGGACAGGTGGTTTATCGATCAAATAGACCTAGAGGCTCTTATAATCAGTACCTTCAATGTAAGTCTGTAGTATTAGTAAGATTTTTAAACTATAATCATCAAAGCATATTGACGCAAATTCTTTTATTCAAGTTGTACATGTAGTTTGCAATTGTCAGATGAATATCTAACGTTGTGTAGCAGAATGCATGCCTCTCCATGGTCCTAATAACGGAGAAGTTTGGATTTTGCTTCATTAAGGTAAGAAGTATGGCCTTTTTCTGCCTCTATGGTGTTTAGTTAATACGTTGAAACTTTGCTGTTGACTCCAGAAAAGTCAAGTAGTTAGTCACGGGGTTCCTTTGGGTAAAAATAGCGTAATAAACGAACACGCGGCAAATGGCGCCGTTGATAAGATAGCCGGTCCAAAGGTGCGGGCTGATCATATTTACCCGCCAGTCTGTGTTGACTTGTCTGCGTGGCTTAATCTCCAAGCAGATACTAGGGTGGCAAAAGACAGTATCAAACCGGCCAAGCAGTATCCATTGGCCATTATCTTCTGGCCAATGGATACTGCCTGGCCGATTTGATACTGTCTTTTGCCACCCTGTATCTGCTTGGAGATTAAGCACGACTGGCCGCCAGCCTGATAAACTACAAAGCCCGCCCGGTGAAATATGATGATAACCACAAAGCCTTTCTTCTGTTCGCCCTAAAATAAGGAATATATTTGATATCCTATCGAATCAAATGATATATTAGAGAATCATCTTTACAGGCTGATAAATGTACTGTTCTATGACTTTTTAGATTTTGAAAACTAAATTCAAACTGTACGTACGCACTAGATAGGTATAAAATGCTAACAACTTTGTACTAGTTCTTCTTATAGTCACCGTGTAGAAGACCTCACAAAAACTCCTGACCTCACTATCGTCGTGTCAATAAAAGATAAACAGAACCGATACAACTGACAACAATGTTAGAAATTTGCACCAGAAAAGGAAAATGACCTTTTCTGATGTATAAATACTTTTGTTGTTAAATACATTGTTCAAACCCTACTTTGTTCCATGTCGCCCCCAGCAGGTAGTGAGGAGATGGACCTGGACACGTTCTTCAGGGCTGTGCAGGAAGGTGACGTGCAGACTGTGAGGAGGGGGCTGGACGCTGGGGTGGACGTCGGGGTCAAGAGGAGATGGGACGGATGGGTAAGCAAACTGTTAGTTCATACAGGGTTACAGACTTGTAGTCCATCCATGTTACTGTTGTTTCATTTGCCCACATCTGAATCTGTGTCAGACATTACCTTCCCTGTTACATATTTCTGTTTGATTTTTCACATTTTTGTTAAGTGGCGCCGTTGATATAAGCCATCTGCATGGGCGCACCACCACTGATGTATTATTTAAATGTTGAACAAAGCAGAAACTAGTAACTAATGAACACCTATTGCTTAAATGATCGGAATCTGTTGCAAACTGTTTTGACAACCAAACTAAAGGTATGAAATTGCTACGATAAAGCGGTGGACAAAACTAACAACACTAAATATCATGCTTCGTATATTTCCTTCGGTAAAAAGCTGTTGAGATATGTAATGTTGAGTAAACGCACAGCATGTAACTTTTGTTCTATACAGTCTGACCAGACATCCCTGCATGTGGCCAGCCAGTACGGGCAGACAGAAGTGGCGGCATTGCTGATCGAACACGGTGCCGACCTGGAGGCGCGGGACTTCGTAAGTAGAAATAACTCAGTCCTGACTTCTCCTGACCTGAACCCTGACAGTGTGACTCGTGGTTCCCTTGTCATATTTATGGCTTCACCAAACCACGAAGTGGTTTTGTGAAACATATTGTGTTCTCTCATGTTTCTTCTCCTTCTCCTCCTTCTCCTGCCATTTCTTTAAAGGGATTCAACTCAGCCGTTCTTCAGCCAAATGACCTGAAATTTGGCATGGAGGTAGAGTGGGCAAATACCCAGATGCAGTTTTTTTCATTTTTTTGATACATGCCCTTGAAAAAAATTTATGAAGGTTTTTTGGGCATTTTTCGACAAAAATTGGATTTTTGGATCCAGTATAAGGGTACCTTGAACATGTGTCTACAAAATAGCAGTCACATATTTGGCATACACCACTTCCAAATCACTAATTTGGGGGACTTTAATGGCTATTTTCACCCAAAAAAGGGCCCAAAATCCCATACCCGTTCCACGTTCGATCTAAAGAATGGCCCGTTCCATCTGCCGCTGGCCATCGAACACGTGTTCCATTTCGGGTTACCTGGGGTCACGTTGCACGTAAGTCGTGCGAAATGACCCACATAGTGCTGCGTACCGGTTAGCTGAAAAGTGAAATGTGGTGAAGCCATGCTGAATTCGCTCCAAAGCAAATGTCGGCCTTTCTAGTTCCCTAATATATCCATTCTGAGTGATATAATTTTCTATATATTAAACGTACGGCTCAAGCAGTACTTTTGTAACCGGTTATCTTCCAAACTGTTGTTCTATCCAGCTTGACCAGACATCCCTGCATGTGGCCAGCAGGTACGGGCAGACTGAAGTGGCGGCATTGCTGATCGAACACGGTGCCGACCTGGAGGCGCGGGACGGTAGAGTAAGTAGAAATAACTCAGTCCTGACTTCTCCTGACTTGAACCCTGACAGTGTGACTCGTGGTTCCCTTGTCATATTTCCCTAATATATCCATTCTGAGTGATATAATGTTCTATAAACGTATGGCTCAAACAGTTGTTTTATAATATTATCGTCCCAACTGTTGTTCTATCCAGTCTGACCAGACGTCCCTGCATGTGGCCAGCGAGCACGGGCAGACTGAAGTGGCGGCATTGCTGATCGAACACGGTGCCGACCTGGAGGCGAGGGACAGGGTGAGTAGAAATAACTCAGTCCTGACTTCTCCTGACCTGAACCCTGCAGTGTGACTTGTGGTTTCCTTGTCAAGTTTATCTATTTTGTGTGAAATAATCTTCAATAAATGTATGGCTCAAGCAGTGGTTTTTTACCCGGTTATCGTCCCAACTGTTGTTCTATCCAGCATGACCAGACATCCCTGCATGTGGCCAGCATCTCCGGGCAGACTGAAGTGGCGGCATTGCTGATCGAACACGGTGCCGACCTGGAGGCGAGGAACACATTAGTAAGTAGAAATAACACAGTCCTGACTTCTCCTGACCTGAACCCTGACAGGGTGCCTCGTGGTTCCCTTGTCAAGTTTCTCCACCATGTCTGGGTCAGAAAATGTTCCCTGGAAAAGTCAGGAAGATAAACTTTAAGTCATGAGTAGGTGCCATGTGAAGTTTAAAAGTGAACGTTTTGCCCACAACTTTCTATTGCGCGCATAATATTTGTCCTGGCGCTGTACCTACAGAAACGCAACTATTTAGATTCTATCGTAATGGATCAAAATCGATAATCACCTTGCAGAAATAGCTGAGTGTAAAACTCTATTTGGAAGGTCGTATAAGGACACGGGACCAAACATTGATAGAACTACTATAGCCTGTAAATGTACACAGTGAAACAGAATCTAGATAGAATTAAATCAGAACGTTTGAGTTAGGATTCCTTAAAGTACCCTCGACATTATTCTACTGACTCAGCCTGTTACACGATTTCTTGATGTCAGGGACAAGAGCGATTTACTACGGTCTGGCTAGCTTATCACTCAAAGATTTTGAATCAATAGACACGAAGAGATTTGAGCCGACTATCCATTCTTCTGTTACACATGTGTGAGGTGGTAGTAGCTTTCCATAGTGTGGATCACTTTCACTTTACACTCGTTACCTTGATCTATCCTGACGTTACTTCATCAATCCAGCCAATACTCGACCTGTGCTTACCGGTTGTACTTTATACATAGGTGCTTAGGTGCTTTATGAACTCCATTAGCAGACATACCTTTTACTTTACTTCAATTGATACTTTTTATTCACTTCACCCGTTTCGTTTTAGTACTGCAATGTAAAAGTGATTTAACTCCATTGCGGTGTCACACATCCCTCCTGTTTTTTTCCAATGAGTAAAATAAAGTAAAGGTTTTCACCTGTCACGATATTGGCGGGATCGTAGCTGGAGATCCCGGGACATGTTGGAGATCGACAGAACTGTACCTCATACTGCTTCTTACCCACGTGATAACTGTGGTCCGTGTTGAACCCATCCCTACTGACCTTGACCTTCCTCCCTTTACAGTACCGGTTCACACCTTTGCATGTGGCTGCTGCTGAGGGCCGCACCGGGACTTGTGAGCTTCTGATTCGTCATGGGGCAGACGTGATGGCCAGGACTAAGGTAATACACACTTGTTTCAAATGGACCCTACAGATTACATGGATACGGAACAGAGATAGAGACAATAATACAAACATACGCAGTAGGTACAGTGTTGATAAACAAATCTAAGGTATTAATACAAAAAAACAGCCCACAGTATATGTGGCATGAAATCGATACAATAAGCAGTATACATAATTAGGTACTCGGTTTATCATTAGGTGTGGTGGGCCCATAACAGGACTTTTAAGAACCGTTTGTTGATTCAAAGAACTTTACCCAAATCTAACTTAAAATGCTCCTTACCCACGCGATAACTGTTGTCCGTGTTGACCCCATCCCTACTGACCCTGACCTTCCTCCCTGTACAGGAACAGTCCACACCTCTGCATCTGGCTGCTCTCCGGGGCCGCACCGGGATTTGTGAGCTTCTGATTCATCATGGGGCAGACGTGATGGCCAAGACTGCGGTAATACACACTTGTTTCATATGGACCCTACAGATTACATGGATATGACCTTAATAATATGTAGTGGTATTGACTACATTAATGTACACAGTTGTATTCCTTTGAGAGTACAAAGGGGGAAATTTGCTTAAATGCATTCAAAGATTTCAAAGGTTTGTACACATATTAGGAACCTAACACCTCCCACACCAGTAAAAGAAATGCTTCACTTGACTCAGAGATTAGACAAATTTTACCTGTTATGTACTGTATATCATATTACACTCTATTGTACATTGTTTAGATGCCACACGTCATTCTGTGCGAGAAAACCGAATGGCGGTTATGTGGGCCGTACAGGCGCAATTATTATTATTATTATTACTTATTTATTTATTTATCTATCTATTATTAGGATGGGGGGTTATATAACCAAAAACAGTTATAATATCACATGTCACAACAAAAGAAGGCGAGCTTGACATCTTTGATGAACCCACGAAAGATTTTGTGTCATTGTTAGACATTGCTAAGTTGCACATTTAGAGTGAACACATTTCTCATGTCTCCCTGTACAGGCCGGAAAGACACCTACAGATGTAGCAGACGGCTGGTGGACTCGGCGTGTCCTGAAGGTGAACAATATTCTCACGGATCTATGACTGGAGGAACAATCTATACTTGCCAGGTTTAATAGTTTGCTAGGTTACACATGAAGCTTGAGAGTTAACGCATTTCTTCTGTCTCCCTGTACAGTTTGGACAGACACCTTCTAAAGTAGCAAGAGAACAATAACTGTACTTCCTAGGGCAGGAGGAGTGGTCTTTGCTCCTCTAAGCTGATTTAACCAGGATGTAAATGCTGGAGCAAACAATACGTATGAAAAGGCTGGGACTATGTTGAAAATATTTCGGTATTATTGCTAAATCTCGTTGATCAAGATAGGCGATTTTATGAATTCGAACTCGTGCTGTATTTGTTTTGCCTCCCACCAGAATCTGCCAAAGGAATTGATCAAAGAGAGGTTGTACAGCGAGTTGCTGCAGAAGTCTGGCGGAGTGAAGACCGACAGGTGTAAGGTGTCCTTGTTTGGGATGGAGAAAGCGGGAAAATCCACACTGAAGATAAGTTTTCAAAGGGTATGTAGGAACTTCGCTTCTTTCTACCGATCTCGTTTCAAGAGAAAAATCAATCAAATGAATAGTAGATTTCTCAGATTAATAGATCGCAAAATTTCATTAAAGACGTCAGAGTTAATTAGGTAACTCCTTTCCAAACAGGGCACCGTGCCAGCACTGCTCCAAGGACTGAGAAAATCGTCGTCAGCCGAGGAGCTTCACGACCCCACCCCAGGGGTGGATGTTGGGACGTTCCATATTCCAGGGGTGGGGGAGGTCAGCCTGTGGGATTTTGCTGGGCAGGCGGAGTACGCGGTAACCCACAGCATGTTCATGGATGCAGGGAACACCATCTCCATTGTGCTGTACAACATCATGGACGACACCAAGGAACAAGACGTAAACAGCACTTAAGCATTAAATTTAACTATAGCAAAACGTTAGGTTTGCACAATGCATTTTTGTTACTTACTAGATACATTATGCATTTGATATATCGGTCTTCAAGGCCAATTAGAAATATTTTCGAAGTGTACTCAAACTATTTGTCCAGAGCAGGTCTAGGCAACCATGTAACTTTGTTGCCGAATGTTCGGCTCCAGGTACACTGGTGGCTGAGTTTCATCAAGTCCTGCAACCCAAACCGGCAGCCTGACGTCATCTTAGTGGCCAGCCATGCCGACAAAGTGTCACCCACAAGTGGTAAGTAGGGTACCCGAGACATATTCAACTTCATGTTATAAGTGAACGCAGCAAAGCAATATGTGTAATACATTATGCAGTGCTATGTTTGCAGTGTTCTAAATACACAGACCTGTACACTGACCCTGACCTACAGGATTTAGCATAATGGCATTTGCAGACATATTACATGCCATGATCAGCGTGCATTTAATCAAAAGTCTCATCTATGTTTCGCTTTGCTCATAACGTTCAGGACAACGCCAAGCTGCCCATCTCCTGCAGTCAATGAAAGCGGAGTTCAAAGATCTCCTCCGCATCTCAGACGAAATCTTCCTGATGAACTGTAAGGTGACGCGAACACCTGAGATGGACCGACTCAAGAAACTACTGGCTAAGATGAAGAAGGCTATGTTAGAGGTAAGTGTGTAATGAGATACGATTTAGTTGAGACAATGAGACATTTGAAATAAATGACTAGTCATGGATCTCCATTTACAACTTGCACAGCACCAACGCCAGATGCCCAAACTGTGCGCAGAAATCACCAAGCGGCTGCCCAGCTGGTGCCAGACGAAGTGCAGCCCGAAGTGTCCTGTACTGAGGTGGCCAGACTACGTGGACGCAGTCAAAGAGATCGACCCACATGTGGATGAGGACTTCCTGCGGGAGTCTACACGCTTTCTGGACCATCTGGGGGAGGTAGGCTGCCCCTCGTTGTGATACTTAGTACTAAAAACAAGTCCATTATATATTAACAATATTAATGTTGTATGTTGCACTGTTGTTATACTGTGTAGAGGTTGCATGTTATACTGTAATGACGAACACAAAACCCACAACCATCCCATACAAGCATACATATGTAAGTGACTCAATAGGCTGAGATTGTGTTACAGATCATCTTCAGCTGTCCCAGCTTTTCTGATCCCAACATTGTCCTGAAGCCCAACTGGCTCTGCACAGACATCTTCGGCCCAATGATGGCACCAGTCAACTTCCCCATTCCCCGCCTGGAGAGAACAAGTGAAGACTACGTCACCAGGGAGGAGATCCAGCGCGTCTTCCAAGACGTTGCTGACGTGGATCTCCTCATCACCCTGCTGCAAGAGTTCCAGTTCTGCCACTCCTATGACGAACAGACCTTCATCTTCCCAGGGCTGCTGACGCAAACCATGCCTGGTCAGGTTTGGCAACTAACCCAAGAGCCAAAGGCGGTCTACTTTGGGAAGCAAGTCCAGTGCGCCAAGTCAACCGACATGTTCTCCTCCGGGTTCTTCCCCCGAGTGCAGACCCGCCTGATGAGGGAGCAGGAGAATCGCCCGCTGCTGTGGAGAGATGGCGCCAAATGTGTGGATAGGAATGTGGAAGGTCTGATCAAACTCTCTCCAGACGGCCGTGCAGTCAACATCTGTGTCCGGAGTGCGCAGGGTGACAAGGTGCAGTGTGGCAAGATGCTGCAGCAGCTGGAGAACATCATCGCTGATGTGCTGGATGAGTGCAGCCCAGGAACAGGCACAGAAGAGAAGGTGCTCAGCGCTCGTGTACTGAAGGAACACAGGGAGGAATTCTACTCCTATGGCACGGAGGAGATCAGGAAGGCAGCAGCAGAGGGCGGTACAATCGTCCATCCCTCCCTCGGGTTCACGGAACAGGTCAGTGACCTGCTGTGTAGAGACGATGAGAGGCCGGTCATCCAAAGTCACCAAGACAGTCATCTAATATCACAGAAACCTCAACAAGTGACGGGGACTCCACATGGAGTATTTCACAACCAGTGCACACTCTGCCCGGCCAAGTCATGTGAGTATTTCACGAAAGATTTGAGTATACCTTGGAGCTTCTAGCCATGTTTTGATAGTAATAATTTTCTTTATAATGCCGTTTGAGTTCAGACGGAAGGCACTAACAAATATTTCCACTGTTCGGATAACAATGACTAAATTGTAACATACACCTGCTTTTCGTTATATTTGCGTCAAACTTGTCATGGTAACAGCAATAACAGTCAACAATCCCGTCCTGTCAAGCTTACGGTTGTTGTTTTCCCCCTGCAGGTCCCACTTCCCCTGTCCTGTGGATGTGACTTCTTGCTGTGTGCTGCCTGCATGAAGAAGACTCAAACCGAGGCCTTTCACTGCCCCAAGCACCACATGGACACAACAGGCCTAGGTATGGCACTTATCAACATTTGCACGGAAAAGTCATGCACATCTCTATGCGCAGCAGCATGTTCTATCTAGACCTGAATCCATGGCGCCGAGACAGCATTTATGTGATACCAGGGCATGAAGATATGCCCAAATTAATTCTGCATTCTGTCCACCCATGTAAAATATCCCCGATTTAAGCAAATAACATGCACAACATACACGATGTACACCTGGGCCACACATGCATCAAATCTGTGCGTTCTACCGGACATGTCAGCTTATGGCAAACAATAAATCATTTTAAAGTTTAATTGGTCTTGGTATTTGAGTCGGTTTAGCTTTGTTGACTATTTTTGGACAAATACATCGATACAGTTTGATTTGTTCCTATTGATGATTATAATGATTATGATCATTACATTATGCTGCAGGCTACAACACGTTTGTTATCGCTGTCGGCCAGAAGGGGTTTGAGGAGGATGCGAGGGGCTTCACAGAGGTCCTCGCCGATCCAAACATCTGTGGTGTGAGGTACGTTCAATGCTATGCCTTACAAGATAGTGTCTCAAAGGGAAGATTTCTAAGACCTTATTGGTAATGCTGTAACATGTTATGACGCCGCTTTGCTCTTCTTTTTTTTTACACTCAACGGGAATTAGGTCTGGGCCATACTAACCAAGTATGGTTAGAGAAATATTTCTCATACATTTCAGCCCTTGAACTTACAGGGTAATCATGTTCTTTGTTTTTTTTTAATTGCTTGAAGCTCATTGAATTGGCATCAGATAGTAGTCCTGGTAAAGTTTATGTCAACAACCTTTTTTTCGTAGGAAGGAGAATGTCAAGTTGCTGCTCAATGCAAACATCACGGATGTTGAAGCCGCAGTTACAGAAGTAGCAGCGAAGATTCAGCAGGTTCCAAAAGACCAGGAGACGTTCTTCATCTACTACCACAGCGGCCACGGTTCTGAACGGGGCCTCAAATTCCGCCACACAACAGTGTGGTCCAGGAAACTACGAGGCATCTTAAAGAAAAGTGCGGCGACTAAGTCACTCTTCATCTTGGATG